TGAGGACACAAATGTGTATAATGACATGGGTACTACAAAACATAAACATGGTTTATGAGGACACTTCCTATGTTCCCGTAAAACAAAAGGCTTAAAAAAACATACAAAATGGTGTTTTATGAAATTCAAAAATTGCCAGCAGTTTTGAGTGTGTGTGTGTGTGTGTCTTGCACTGACTTCCATTGCATTGTGCGTGTGGTTCCTGTAGGCTTCTGTGTACTGTGATAAGAGGAGAGGAAATCCTGTTCATTCCCTCTTGGCCTTTTTTCTGACCTCTGATCCAGCTCATTGCCGCCCATGGTGACTGATGCTGTTTGGAATATAATTGCACAAAAAGGCAGATCCGTTGAATGCAGTGCTGTTCTGTTTCCTGCTGACAGAACCAGTGTGTTTCACTCACAAACATGCATGAGGGAGTCATCAAACCTCAAGCTCAAGCATTGTTGATCCATCTCAAACCGGTTTGGGTAGTCATTACTCCATCTAATGCTGTGCTGTCCTCCTCAGGTGAAATGGACCATGGAGGTGCTGTGTTACGGCCTGACGCTCCCGCTGGATGGAGACACGGTTAAGTTGTGTGTGGATGTCTACACTGACTGGATAATGGCCCTGGTGTCTCCACGAGACTCTATACCCCAGCCCATCATCAAAGAGCCCAACCTCTACGTCCAAACCATCCTCAAACACTTGCACAACCTTTTCCTGCCCAGGTGTGTTCGGCCTATGGTTTTAATTACCCATGATGCACTGTGCACCAAACTGTTCCGTGACTGCATTGATGAACACTGCATACTGCACTCTTTGTACTGTACAGTACCTACAGTATATAAATATATTTTTTGGATAATAGTATGGGAAACATTGCACAGTATGCAACAATAATTTCAAACATTATTATGCTTCATTGATGTTGTAACGTTTATTTCAATGAGCGGTGTCCACTTAATATCTCATAAAATAAAAAACAATTATTTTGTATGTTTTATGCAGTTTAATGAAAAAATGTCTATTGCAGCTCAAACAATGATAGATAGATAGATAGATAGATAGATAGATAGATAGAATTAAAAATATATATTTAAAAAAAAATTCAACAAAAAATGTAACAAAAAAAATTCCCTCATACTGCTATTTGATGAAAGAATATTTTATTTATAATTGTGTTTCCTATTTTAGGATAATAGCGCAGAAATGTGTAATGACATTACATAAATGCTTCCTTTTCCACAATGTTTTATATAGTGTACTATTATACTTTTAATATACTAATACCTATTATATGTATTAGAAATCTCCTTAAAATGATTAAACATTTAAACTTTTTAATGATTATCTTTGAAAAAGATAATAATTAGTTTTGTTCTGATGAAATGGCTCTCCTAGAACATTAACAATATTATTTTTGGATTTGAGCATGTGATGATAGGCTTGTGTTCTGTCTAGTAAGTGTAGCACTTCCTGTTTGTGCTTTCTGATTTTGAATATTCTTGCTGCTTTCTTTCAGACCAGAGCACTTCAGCCTGGTGCACTTTAAATTGTGTCAGCAAGTGCTGTCTGCCGTGCAGAAGTTGGCACGTGACTCGAACGGCATGGCCAGAGAGACCTGGGAGGTGCTGCTGCTCTTCCTGCTGCGCATCAATGACACGCTACTGGCCCCGCCCACTGTGGGAGGTGTGTATGTCAAACACAGTGATGTTTCCCTCTAAAATAGATTTAACTAGACCTTACATTGACTGACAAACAAATGAGAGAATGTGCACGCTTTGCATCTAAACAAACTGCATTTTGTGTGCAGTATGCAAATTAACCTCCTCTGATGTAATTGTGTTTCCTGTTTTAAGATAACGAGTGCAGAAATGTGTAAAATTCTGTTTTTTTTTATCAACCATACATAATCAGATTTATATGACATGTTGAAAAGTTGTTTTTACTTTTTGTTGTTTTAATTGTTTTCATATGCAAAAAAATATCAACCAATCATTCATAGATGCAAACTCCTCACCTTTCAGTAATAACTCACTTTTTTAAAATCAAAATAGGTCACCTATGAGATTTGCTTAGATCCAATGAGAAAGTGTTTTCACGAGGGGGCGGGGTCTTTCAAGGGTAAATAAAGAACTGGGCCCGGTTGCATAAACTATTTAGACTAGTCTTAAAAAGTTAGTAATTTAATTTGAACCTCCTCTGATGTAATTGTGTTTCCTGTTTTAAGATAACGAGTGCAGAAATGTGTAAAATTTGCTTTGCTTATTTTTCTGCAATCAAAAATTCTGTTTTTTTTTATCAACCATACATAATCAGATTTATATGACATGTTGAAAAGTTGTTTTTACTTTTTGTTGTTTTAATTGTTTTCATATGTAAAAAAATATCAACCAATCATTCATAGATGCAAACTCCTCACCTTTCAGTAATAACTCACTTTTTTAAAATCAAAATAGGTCACCTATGAGATTTGCTTAGATCCAATGAGAAAGTGTTTTCACGAGGGGGCGGGGTCTTTCAAGGGTAAATAAAGAACTGGGCCCGGTTGCATAAACTATTTAGACTAGTCTTAAAAAGTTAGTAATTTAATTTTTTGGTTGTTTCAATAAGTTTTGTATAGTATTTTCTTTACGCCTTACTTTAAAAACTATGTCTAAAAAGGGTAATATTGTATGTATTTGAGGTCTGAGATGTGGGAACGGTGAAGAGAGAGAGGGCACATTTAGCATTTTAGGTCAGCATTGCCGTGTAATCAACCAATATTGTCTTAAATAGCCTGCAGAGCACTTCATCTTTTATAACATGGGATTTTATTCAATCTTGATTTTTGTAAAATTTTGCAACAAGATGTTAAGAAATTATTTTATTTGTTGTTGGTGGTGTTTTTGTGAACAATTACAGTTTTGGACATATAAGGTCATACAAAATATTTTTCAAAATACGTTAAAGTAACTACAAATGAGCATGTAAAGCAAATATCTTTAAAAGAAATAAAAACAAGCTGTGACCCTGGAGCACAAAAGCAGTCTTAAGTAGCACAGGTATATTTGTAGCAATTGCCAAAAATCATTAAATCATTAGAAATGATTGATTTTTCTTTAATGCCAAAAAATCATTAGGATATTAAGTAAAGATCATGTTCCATGAAGATATTTAGTAAAATTTCTACCATAAATATATCAAAACGTAATTTCTGATTAGCAATAAGCATTGCTAAGAACTTTATTTGGACAACTTTAAAGGAGATTTTCTCAGTATTTAGATTTTTTTCGCCCTCAGATTCCAGATTTTCAAATAGTTGTATCTCGGCCAAATATTGTCCTATCCTAACAAACCATAC